TATACTTTTGCTATGTGACCAACGACTAGGTTTTAAGAAAGGTATAGTCTGGAGGCTGTTTAAACAAAACAACATATGGAACAACATATTTGAGTGAGGCAGTTGGTAATCTATTGATAAGATAAACAGCAGTACAAAATGCTGAATCCCAAATTTTTAAAGGAAGAGACGCATGACTAAGAAGAGTTAAGCCAAGTTCTACTATATTTCCATGCTTTCTTTCAATTACTCCATTTTGATGATGAGTGTGAGGACATATGACTCTATGATTAACACCTAAGTCTTTTAAGTATTTAGACAAAGGTCTGAATTCACCACCCCAATGAATTTGAAGAATTTTAAGAGAAGTATTAAATTGTAACTCAACCATCATTTTGAATTGTTTGAACACAGTGAGAGTATCAGATTTGTTTTGTAGTAGATAGATCCATGTAAAACGAGAATAAGCATCAACAAAGCTTAAGTAATATTTGTAATTATTCGAAGATTGTATGGGGGCTGGTCCCCACAAGTCACTGTACACTAATTCCAAGGGATTTTTATACACTGAATCAGACAAATTGGAAGGCAAACGATGTGCTTTGCCCATACAACAAGCATTACAAAAGAAACCATCAATTTTATTCACAACAGGAATATTACATTGTTGAGAAACAAGCTTTTGAACATGAAAATTTGGATGACCTAATCTAGCATGCCATAAGGTATGAGAGCTAGACTTGACATTATTCAATACATCAACATCAGAAACTACAGTATTGGAATTATTAGAAACTATGAATGCTGAGGAGTTGCTTGGAGCAGCTTGAAGCTGAAGATTAGGAAAGCAGTATAAACCATCAGATCCCACATTTCCTTGCACCAACACTTCATTGGTGACCTGAGATTTAACCAAGCAATAAGTGGGATGAAATTCAAAATATACAGAATTATCTTTAGCAAACTTACTAACACTGATAAGATTTTTTGTAATATGAGGAACATGTAAAAGATTATGTAGAGCTAGAGACATTTTAGGATTATTTTGAGAGGTAAAATAGGATGAACGAGAAGAATGAATAGGCAAACCTTGACCGTTGCCAATGAATATCTGATCTGGTCCTTCAAAAGGACTCATTTGTTGAATATTCTGTTGTTCTCCTGTCACATGAAACGAAGCACCGGAATCAGGAAACCAATTTGTAGGATTGCTAGTTGAGCTTGTGTTGGTCACCATAACACTAGGCTGTTGAGAAGTAGCAGGTCTCATGTTTCGTTTCACTTGATTGTTGAAGTTGGGAACCATAGAGTTATGTTGTTGCTGATTAAACTGATTCTGAAATCCACCGGTCTGATTGTTAAATGAAAAACCAGAGTTCTAAAAACTAGGATTCTGAGAGTAGCTTCCTTGAAAATTGTAAGCCATCAAAGGTTGATAGTTTTGATCAAATCGATGATAACAATATGCAACAATGTGACCAATTTTATGACAAACTTGACACTGAACACCTGAAAACCTTCCACCGCGACGACGTCCACGTCGACCTCCGCGGCCACGATAGGTGTTTCTTCCAGCATTCATTTCCATATCAACATCTTGTGAAAACTGATTAGATTGATTTGTAGACTCAGTTTTCAGTTGCAAACCAGAGTTAGGGTTTGTTATTGGAGCCTGTGTTAAATTTATTGACGCTGATTCTGACAAAAGTCTCTTGTATTTTTGAAGTCGCATCTCGTGTGCCAGCAAAAGAGCTTCAACTTTTTCAATTGAAGGAGTTTCAAATTTACTTTCAACAACAGAAATCACAGAGTTGTAGTCTTGTGAGAGACCTTCAAGAATTACATCAACATGTTCTTATAAGGAAACTGATTCTCCAAAAGACGCTAGCGCATCAACAAGAGCTTTGATGCGAAGAAGAAATTCTTCCATAGGTTTTTCTTCAAGAGAAGTTGATCGGAGTTCGGTTCGTAACTGTCGAGCTCTTGCTCGAGTTTGTTTATGAAAATAATCGTGAATCTTGTCCCAAACTTGATACAAGTGATTGCTTCCTAAAACGCGAGACAGAATCGTAGGAGAAAGTGAAGATTGAAGCCACAACATGAGAATTTGATCTTGCTGCTCCCAGGCGATGTATTCGGGATTGAGCTTTCCTGCATCTCGATCTGTTTCATTCAAGAATCTGAGTGGATTTTTTGGACAAACAACAAAGTGTTGAAGTCGATGAGCTTTGATGACTGGTTCGACTTGTTGACGCCATATGAGGAAGTTCGTCTCATCTAACTTCGACGAAATCATGTGCGCAAACGTAATTAGGGCAGACGAAAGTTGCAGCGAAGACGCTTCAGCCATTGATGATCATCAAGCTCTTGATACCATGTGAGAAAAGAGAGAGAAACGAAAAGACAGAGTAACAGATTTGTAACTAAATTTGTATTATATGAAATTGTTGTATTTACAGTATGTAGAACACTATATATAATACAGCTGAGTATTCACTCACTAACTAAACTTCAGTCAATTTAGTAAACTAGAGTTAGCAACCCAGAGTCAGTTTGATAACTGCTCTTTACAATACATTCACACATCATGTAATAAGAAAAATTTTAATGTTATCAATATATGTATCTTTAGATTTAAATCAATAAATTTTTTCTGAATATGAATCCCATTCGTATAGTGAATTATAGAATAAACTAGATGTAATATAGAAAAAAAAAAGTTTTCCACAAGTATTGGTTATTGAATTTTGGGTTCATAATTTATGCTATATGGTCAATTGTGCTCTTAGGCCTGTTGCTATTATTGTAACTTAATTAATAGATTATACATGTAAAAGACATTGTAAATTGAACACATTAGATCATTAATATCTGAATAATTTTTAGCTTTTATTTATTTATTATTATTATTATTATTATTATTATTTATTTTTATAGTTTCACTTATTTTATTTTTTAGTCTTTATACTTTAAAATATTTTTTTTTTAAATTTTTATACTTATCTTTTTTTAATCCTTTTCAATTGTTATAATTTAAGATAAATATTTTTAAATTTTTATATTTATAGTTCCTATAATTTCACTTACTTTACTTTTTAGTTTTTATAATTTAAAATAGATTTTTTTAATTTATATACTTATATTTTTGAATCATTTTTAGTTTCTATGGTTTAAGATATATCTATTTAATTCCTATATTTATAGTTTTTTTTAATCCTTTTAATTCCTACTGTTATTTTTTTTGGTAACTTTGGCTGTTTTATGTTAATGTGGTACCTTTAATTTTGTGAGAATAAAAAAATGATGTTTCAACAATGGATGTTAGGTGACGATACAAAAGAAGCATGAAATATTAATAAATTTAATTTAGAACAATTCTAACAAAATAAATTAAGCATCAATTACAAAGTTAAATTAATACATCTATCACATCAACACAAGAGAGAATATTTTAAAAAAATTAATGATAGAAATTAAAAGGATTAAAAATTATAAGCGTATATATATAT